AGAAAGCAGAGTCATGAAGTACCTTCCAAGCATCAAATAGTTTCTCTTATTGATGGTATTCATATTCAATGAGTTATATCTACTCCAAAAATATCTATTCTTATTATATTGAACTGCCTTATATCCTATAAAACATTATGGTCTTATCATATTTTATACCGATCCTATTAGTAATTAAATCCCACGCAATCTTTATCAATTATAAAAAAATTAGTAATTGTCTATGTCTAAAAGTATTATATTTCTCATAAAAAATTGTATAAATAATACAGCTTTAATAATACAATGATCAGATTGACATGTATGCAGAATATATATATATAATTAAACCTTTATAAAAAGAAAATTACGTTATAATTACTGCAACATATTAATTCCAACATTTGATTTATATGTTCCTTCAAACTTCATATCTTTTTTACTTTGGAAGGTTTTTTTTGTTACAACGAACACAGAACAAACTTCGGTTCACGAAGCCTATCATGTGAAAAATCCTCCCATCCAATTTTAATTTTTGAATTGGCCCAACTTATTTAGTGGTCAACATTTAAGATGATAAGGAAAGGTTTTAAGACTAGACACGTTGAACACACAAACACCGACCTCACAAAGTGGTCCTTGACAACTTTGCTCCACCTACCAGACTAAGGATCGTTAATACAAGAGGCTGGTCAACGATCGTTGGTGACTGACCCAGGTAAAGTGAATAGACAAAATTGGAAAAATGAAGAGAAATACATATAATAATTTCATTAATTTTTAAGAATATGATGATATTTTTCCCTTTAAAGATCTAATAATTATATTTTATTATTTTTTAAATTTAAATTTGTCCTCATTTAAATTTGAGTCTCTCCATTGAAAATGTCTATAAATTTTGACCATTTTTTTTACTCAAATTTAAATAAGGATTTGAGTTTTCATTAGAGATGATTTGACGAGTGAAACCATGAAAATACCCTTACCAAAAGGATAAACAAAAAATACTTTAAATTTCATAAGGTTTTTTTCGACTTAAAAATGACTAGGGTGATAAGCCTATTTTGTATATTTCTAGTTGGATAAATAATAAAAATAAAATCTAAACAGAAAAAGAAGAAGAAGATGGATAAATAATACGACATCGTTCAAAAGAAGAGATGATGTTAGGAATGTTTATGGGTTGGGCTGGGCTGAGCTAGGGCTATGAATTTTTTTTTAGTTGGGTCTGGGTAAAGTAAGCCTAAATCTTTACTCGATTGAGTTATCGATCGAGCCAAACAAGAATAGGAGCAAACTACCAGCAACTCAACCCGTCACTCACGGAGCGGGGCTTGCGGGTAGACCTTTTTTTATATACATCTTCATTTAAACAGTTTTCAACTTAATATTTTTATAAATTATATTTTTAAATTAAAAGTAGAGTCAAAATATATAAAAAATAAATAATGAATGATTTTATTTGAAAGGAATTATTTAGTATTTAAGTAAAAATTATAAATAATATCCTAGATTACTCAACTTAGTATTTAAGTAAATAATATTCTTGTGAGATGAATATACACCTAACTTTTAATGATCAATTTTTTTTTCAAACAATGTGGGTGAACAAGCGGACAAACAAGTTTTTAAGCCAAGTTTTAGGGGAAAATTGTGAAAAAGTATACCATTTAATATTTATTTGTGGAAAAATATTTTATTATAAAACATATGTGTATAAGTATTTTTGTGTATAAATGTTTGGTGAGGAAGTATACTTTTGCTAAATTGTAATTTTTTCATTTATAAAATTGCTCTTTTCTTTCATTAATAGGAGACAAATATGACAGTTATATTAGAGATTTAATTTTCTATTTTTATGCTGTGTTATTTTTGAACTTTGAATTACCCCTTCCTCCTTCATTTAACAAACGTATTCCTTCTCCATTCTATAACCCATGTTTTATACATTTTGTAAACGTTTTATTGAAACATTCATATGCTAGTCGGCTATGAGTTAAGTACATTTTTCATAAAAGGTTCACTTTTCCATTTTGTAATCGGGTTTTGATATATCTTCTAATTAGTTGTAATAAAAGACGTGCGTCGGGTATGTTTTTCACACTGCTACAAATTTTTTTTAAAAAAAATAAATAAATGATAATGATGAATATATGTTCTAAATTATTTTTTTCATAAAATTTTGATAGAGTATACAATCATTTTATTATATCGTTATAGGAATAAGTTGTTAATTATCCGTGTTTAAATGTATTCACCATCTGACGTGGGCTCCAATCAATTTTTTATTTGTAGCCTGCTATCAAAGGTATCTACTACATTGCCGTGCTCTCATTTTCTAGTGTGCTATATCTCTTGTTCCATAGGTATAAATTAAATATATCGATAAAAAAAAAGAATATAAAAGAAAGTTCTATACAAAAGAATTTTCAAAGAGATTCTTCCGTCCTACCGTTGAATTAAAAANAAGAATATAAAATAAAGTTCTATACAAAAGAATTTTCAAAGAGATTCTTCCGTCCTACCGTTGAATTAAAAAAAAAAAATACCCCAAATTTGTTAGTTAGTTTGTAACTTCAGTTTATTTGGATAATTTTTTTGTTTAACATTTGTTTTTCTCTCATTTTACGAAAATACTAAAGTGATAAAAATTTGAAAAATCAAATATGTGATCCAAATAATGTGACAAATTCACACAACTAACGAGATATAATTGAACCCCTTATTTACTAAGTTTTATCCTTAATGGTCTGTCTGGTAATAATAATAGAAAAAAGAAGTGATAAAATTTGACTTTTCATTGTTCAAGAAAAGAAAAATACTTTTACTCTTTTTTGTTTGGTACAAAAATTGAAAAATAAAGTTGATAATTTTTTATTATTTTATTTGACATAAGAAGTAAAAAGGATAAAAAAATACTTTCAAATAATTACCTTAATATATTTACGATTATCTGAAAAAAATTTGAGGTTATTTGTATTCTTTAAAAACTCTCGCCAACATCACCATTCTTGGCTCATTATTGGTCAAATCACTTGTGCACTAGGTTTAATGTGAATTGAATCACTTAATCATGTTTCATAATTGAAAAAAAGAGGACAGTAGAAATAATAGAGAGTTGATTGTTTTGACATTGATTTTATTGACAGTACATGCCAAGCAGATGCTGTTGGAGAATTAGCACCATTGGGAGGGGTTGTTGTTGTAGCCACCAAAGAAGATTTTAGGGTTCGACGGTGGTGGATGATACTTTTACACATAAAATTACGGCCACAAACAGTGCCCTTTTACTATGCCAAATTAATTGAATTGTAGAATTGGAAAATTGGGGGTGATCTTGGTGTAACAGTAAAATTATTTTATTGTAATTTAGAAGTCACGTATTTGAGTCGCAGAAATAAACTCTCTGTTTTTAAGGATAAAATTATCTCACCCAAACCTCCGACTGCCGGAAGTCTCGTGTAATTGACACACTCTTTTATAAAATCAAAAAATTATCTTAACTTAATTATTCGGGTGGTCGTAACTTAGAATTCGGACTAATTTTTTTATTGGATTTGACTCTTTACGTCATCATCTTCATGGTGCATTATAATCGCTTTGATTTGGACCGCACTAATTTGTCCACTTGTACATAGTAAATGACAAAAAGAGTGGAGCCCATAATTATTTTTTTTCCCAAATTGGTGATTCTAAAATCTGAACCTTTTACTAAAAACAAAAATTGAACCTTGAGGCTAAAATGGTTTTAGGCAACTTTTGCACCATGCATCAATTCTCCTTCCAGTTTCGCCCATTTTTTGAGCGATTAAAAAGAGTAATACTAGATGAACTTAAAAATTAGACTTGATAATCTTAACCATTGAATAGGTAGTGGGTCCCAATAAATGCTAAGACTCACAGTAAAATTAATAGTTATAATTATCAAATCTAATTTTTAAATCTAATTTTTAAGTCCATCTAGCATTACTCGATTAAAAATGCTGGAAAGAAAAAATGCATTTTCCACCCTTTTTTCCTATTTTTTCATTTTAATTTTTCTTGTTCACCAAACCATTCCGTCCTCCTAATTTTTCGTCAAACCAAATAGCCCCTAAGTGCAATTATTGGGAAGAAAATAGAGGCGGACCCGGTGCACTACTAGTTGCCGAAGCAGTGTGTTTTGTTGAAAATTTTGAGTTCAGTTATTTCTTTTGCTTTTGCTTTGTGTTGTACTGAATTTTGACGAGTCTAAGAACTCATTTGACTTTTGAACCCAGTCTTTAATCCGTCTTATTATTCTATTTTTCGCCGCAATTTGTGTTATTCTTCTTGTTTGGTGCGATCATTATCAGAGCTAGAGTTTTGAAATTTGAGAGTTGTGTTGAAGTTAAGTTTTAAAATTTGGGGTTTTTTTTTTCTTGTGGTGTTCTTGGATGTAGAGTTGCTAGATTCAAGCATCTATGACAAGAAATCCTAGGTGTGAACATAATCTAAATGAAGCATTGACCAACACAATACTAGTCGGAAGAAAGATGATACTTTGCACTGGAGGACGGTTTACTCGTGTGAAAGACATAGCTTTCCAAGACTGAAATCTATTGTTGACGGAGAAAAAAGCTCTAATACAAGTAAGGGGAAAAATTGATAACCCTTCAAGGATCAATGCCATGGCATTAGAAGAAATTCTTCAAGTGGATTCCTTCCGGTCTACTTCTTTTATGATCTCATTGGAAATCATATAAATACAACTCCTATTTGATATAATTATTTGTGCAAGTATTTTATGATGAAAAAGTAACTGTCTCTTGTACGAATCATGAATAAATCTATTATAACTATAGAAAATCCCTTTTTTTTGGCGAATTATTGCATATAACACGGAAACAATTCCAAATTGACATAATTTAAAATTATAACGGCTCAAAAAAAAGGAACAATCACAAAACATGAGAAGTTGATACCGAAATATATGTAATTATTTGTCAAAATACAATAAAACCACCCTCCAAAATATTTTAGCAATCAAACTTGTTCTACTCTTAACGTCCCACGCTAAGGAGTGATTCAGTAACAGACATGGTGTTAGCAGAAACACTCCCCGAGGATGATGGAGGGAATGTCATTGCAAATTCATTTGAAATTTCATTCCCAAATAATGCAGCCATGCCAGCACCTGCAATATCCGTAAATACTTCGGGCAAGATAGCTTCCCCATCCAAATACTGCATCACTTGCCTCATGCTAGGCCTAGTCACCGGATTATAGTGCGAGCAAAGCAGACCTAGCTTCAAAACCAACTCTATTTCCTGTACCAAAAAATCACCTCCCAATCTCGTATCAGTTGTCTCAAGAATTGTTCCTTCTTGCCATTTCTCCAAAACCCACTGAACCAAACTCATATCATCAATCAATCCCTGTACCTTTAGAGGTCTTTGTCCGCAAGCTACTTCGAGCATAAATGCCCCGAAAGCAAAGACATCTGTGCTAGTAGTTGCCTTGCCAATTCTAGCAAGCTCTGGTGCAATATACCCATAAGTTCCAACAACATGGGTTGTTTTAAGGTTTTCTCCGTGATCATACAATCTAGCAAGCCCGAAGTCTCCTAGCCTTCCATTGAAATTGGCATCCAAAAGGACATTACTTGCCTTGACATCTCTGTGAAGAACAACTTTTTCCCACCCTTCATGCAAATATAGAAGGCCTGATGCTATCCCTCTAATGATTTGATAGCGTTGAGCCCAATTAAGGCTTGGTTTTTCATTGGTGTGTAAAAACTTGTCAAGACTGCCATTGGGCATATAATCATAGACCAACAGAAACTCTTCCTTTCTCCGGCAATATCCCACTAGGCCCACCAAGTTCCTATGTCTTAGCCTACCCATGCTAGCAATTTCAGCCACAAATTCCTTCATCCCTTGTGTTGAATCATGGGAGACTCTTTTGACTGCTACATGTGCATTGGAAGAAGGAAGTACCCTCTGTAAACCTGTCCAAAACCTCCTACTCCAAGAAGCTCTTTGTGGTTGAACCCATCGGTTGCTTTGTAGAGATCCTTGTAGGAGAACCTCTGAGGCCCATATTCCAATTCCCAATCCTCGAGTATTTCTGCATACTTTCTTCTCCTTTGTATGTGAGCAATCCCAGCTATAGTGATGATCAGCACAACCAGTACTGTCGAGGCCGAGATTGCAACATCTCGATGTAATTTTCTTTTGGATTTTCTGGGCCAGGGAACAGAAGGAAGTTTTGATAGGTCTAGGCTTTGTGCTGGCCCAGTTTTGTTGAAGCTCCACCCCAGAATGTCGTGGTTGCATTGCGTAATTGTTCCTGTAGCTGCAGAGAAACCAACATACATAGAGTTCAAGAAAACTGAAGAGAGATCAATGGAAGCCGACAAGAGAGGTAGATTTGGTTTCGCGATTCTGATGGGAGCTAGTGTAACGATGATAATCTTTTTCACTCCATCATAATCTATCCAAACCTGCGTTGGGGTTTTAGTTGTAAGATCCAAGCTCTTGTTGATCCCTTCTGTATTGGAAAAATATGACGCCGGAGCGGATACAAAGGATATTAGACCGTTCACATCAATTCCAACATGATTGGTGTTTATATCTTTCATTTCAGGGTTCATAGTAGTATCAAACTCAACTGCAAATACATGGTTGGAGGTAAGGCCGTTGTTCGAAGAATTGAAAACTCCCAGAAACTGCTCAGGCATGCCTTGCTGGGTGAAGCCCAGAGATGGTGAGATGGTGAAGGCAAAGCCGACGCCGGGAGGATATCTCTGTGTAGGAACAGTGGCGAAGATGAAATAGGTGGAAAATGAAAGAGACTGAGCCGACCCAGATGAAGAAGACGTGTTAAATTTCACAGGAATTTGGTAGAAGGCATGGCCAGTATCTTGCTTTGAAGTGTTGGTTATCTGCAATAGGCCATTGGAAAGGATCGCAGCGCGACCATCAAGGTACAGTTTAGCTCCACGGAAGCCATGGTAGATGAACTGGTTTTCATCTTGAGCCAAGGCTAAGAGTATTATGGATATAAGGAGGAATATCATGAGACTAATAAGCGACCATGGAGCCATTAAAGAAGTGAGAGAAGGTTTCTTCTGTCTTGAAAATTTAATACTTTGAATGGCCAAAATGTTGATCTGATCAGATTAGCCTGTATCATTTGATGAGTATGAGTAAAATATTGGGCGTAATGATTACGCAATATTGTTAGCTGCTGCAATCCTTCGATGATAATTCAGGACCTCACCTTTTTATATAAAATAATAATTGTCACATATTTAAAAAATATAGTTCAATTGCCGACAATTATACCTAATATTTTAAAAAATGGGATCCACTTACTAGCTAACAATGCTATGTTTACCATATTATTTACCAATTTTTGTATCACAAATTAGATGGTTAGATTAGTGAGATCCATTAATTTTTATCAACTATTCAATGTATAGAATTTTAATACGTCAATTAAAAAATAACAGTCTAATGAATAAATTTGAAAAGGACAGTTTCATCTCTTAGTATTATTTTCTAGCGCCGTGAGATGTGGGAACCGAAGAAGTCATATAAAGACTAAGACTAAGACTAATTGGTCAATCTAATAGTGCGGTGAGAAGTGGGAAGAAGTCATAAAGACTGGCACCTATGGGTCAATCTACATTCTCCGAGAATATGAGGCCGTCGAATATATATTTTTCTTAGTTTTTATACATTATAAATTAAATTACTAGTTGGGAAAATGCAGTGGTGTTAAGTCGGGTTCAAATCATATTCTTTTATATTCATATCGAATATTAATTAATTTTAATTTAATTTATTTAATTAATTATGTCAAATGTTCTGATACTAGCTTGATCACTTGATTTTTGGAATGGCGTGTTCAAGTTGATCCCTATATTTCTTAAATTAAAAATCTAATGCTAAGATTGGATTATTTCTCAACTAAACTATAACTCATTTTTTCATAGGCTTAAAATCTATTTAAATAGAAATAAAATTTTCTTTTAGTATAACTAATGTAAATATGTGATAAAAATAATAAAAATTAATCATTTTATTCATATAATACTAATTAAATGTCTATCATATCAAATTTAGGTTATTTATATTTGATAATAAACTGTCACACTTATTATTCATTTTATTAAGCCTTATTATTATGAGTTCATATCAAAACTAGTTAAGCTTAACCTATTAAATTCTTGTCAATTTTGAATAGTTTTGACGTATCATCTTTAAGCAAATTTTTCAAATATTCTCACTTGGATTTACATAAGAATGTTCTACTTGACTGGACTTATCTTTCCTCATCTAATACAAAAAAGGTATAATTAATAATAATATCTGAGTTATATGAAATACGCTTTTAGTCCATCCCGTGCAAAACCCAGGAGGCAGAGAGAGTAAGTCAGTAGTTATGACATCTCTGACGCATCAATCAGCTAAGGGTACTGGTGGTTGTAAAAGCTCAAAGGTGAATGGGGCATCTTTGTGCTTCTCCCATGAAGTGAAAACTAGAAAATTTGACATGACATTTGCTTTAGCTCATGAGCTCAAGAATAATTATTAATTACATCTCCAAATCATATGTTAGTTCAGAAATTCACATCGGATGCACGTCAAAATACACGCAATCACTTATTAATCGTATATGTCGAATAAATTTTATACAATCAAACAATTAAAACTTTAGATGTGTGAATTTACATGGACTTTGACAAGCAAAAAATTTGGTATTATAATTTTAAATTTTATTATTTTAATAAGTATTTTTAAATAGTTATTATTTTTTATAAATAATTTATCACATTTATAGATATTTTTGTTATTATTGTGGGTATTTTTATCATTATTTTAGCAATTATATTTACTACTTTTTTTATACAAAAATATATTATCACTTTTGTTAGTGATTTATTACATTTATGATAGTTTTTATAATTGTTATAGCAATTATTTTTATTATTATTATTTTAATAACATAATAATAATAAAAATATTTATAAATATGATAAAAATTGGTATCCAAAATTTTATTTTTCAGTATCGTAGACAAGTACATGTAACATTATTAATTGGTTAAGACTTGCCGGTAGAAACAAGTGAAGTCAGTCTTTGAAATTCTTTTAATGAGGGTACCGCACCTCATTGACTTTAACCAGACTTGGAAAATTCGAAGATATCGGCGGCGACAGGTTTGAAAATTGAAGTCGAAAAACATGCCTCTGTCCCTCTCTGCCTTCTGGGGTTTGCACTTGATGGACTAAAATAAGCATAAATTCCGAATTATTGATTCTACTTTTAAGTATAAATTTGAATTTGTTAATTTCGCTTTTACATGAAATTGAATTTCATATTTTTACTTATAAAATAATCGTAATTTAATAAATAAGTTTAAAACAATTATAGATTGGTAAATGAATTTCAATTTTACCGTATTTTGGTCATAGATTCTCCATCCAAGTGTATATGTATATATTAAAAAATTTCCCCAATGTTCTTTTGGGATTTTCTTTTGTAATTTTGTTATCAACTTTCATTCCAATTCTCCATAGCGATTTTCCTTCCCCGTCTTCCGTCGATGTCTGCTGTTCATTTCACCGGACCTTGAGTTGCCCTACCCAAACAAACTTGTTTGCCTAGTTGGGCTTAATGCATCTCCGGTTTAGAAATTCTCCATAATGATTTTCCTTCCCCGTCCTCCTTGAACTATGCATCATCCCCACCAAAAACATTTTCCAATTCCACTTCTCCTTCTTCCCTTACCCACATCTTCTCTCATCTGACCATTTATTCCCAGATCCCCAATTTTATTGCCCTTGGTTCATCGATCCTAGGTCTACCCACCCACCTATGTTTCTTCCCCTTTCCCATTCAATATTACATCTGTAGATTCCCCACCATCAATACCTTCCATCTTACGCCATTAATGATTCTCCACTCTCTATCCACCACAAGATCTAGCCAAAAATATGTCTAGCCTCTTTGAAAACCCAAATCTCTCAAATACGGATAACATACCAATCCCCTGCCCACCGAAGGACCAAGAGGTCAACCCAAAAGCCCCTCAAGCATGCTCACCTTCTGGGTCCCAATCCTTGGGCATAGAGCTATCTCTATCAAGTGAGGGTACTTGCGCAACCATTCCATATGGAGCTAGAATTTTCACACAATAGATTTGTACAATCTCTAGTGGGAATCCTCAAAATGGTCTAGACATGCACAAGGGAGACTCGAGCTAAAAGCCAACCGAGATTACCAGCTCTTTGGCAACAGATGCTAGCCCACAGGTAAACCCATTTCCTTGCACTACTTCTAATTTCGTTTCTGAATCCTCTATTAGGAGTAAGGAAGGTGTGACCCATG